CATTTAATTTTACTGCAGAGGAGAGAAGACTGCCTCATGACATCCCCCAGAGGAAGGCAAAAGTGAATCAGGAGATCTGAGCTTTGATTTTGGTTCTGACACTCTCTGACCATGAGATCTGAGCCCTTGACGTCTTTGTGCTTCAGGTATTTTCCACTTATAAAGTAAAACTTGCATGATCCAGCCTTAAAATGGATTTCTAAAAAGTACTTGATTGGGAGTGTTCACAAGGATTTCACTATTTCCAGATGGCCACCAGGGATTTATGGCATTACACTAGAGAGGGAATAACAAGTCATTTAGGCCACCTTCCTTAGCTGGCCACACCTAGCCCCTCCAAGAGGAAGGGGTGTGTTGGATGCAGAAAGTGCTCTGTTTTCCAAGAGAGGGAACTCCAAAGTCAGGATTTGGTACAAACCATTTTGTGTAGTGTTTGAGAAGAGCCACGGGCAGACGTGGTCCACCATAAGAGACGGCTGAAGGCGTAAGGGTGTTGCCCAGTCCTCCACCTCCATGTAGAGTCCAATGTCAATTCTCAAGGGCAAGTTATCCAAAGAGAACAGAAGGACAGACACCCTTGGTGGCGATCTTAATTTATTGCAGAGGTTCTCAAAGTGTGGTTTACTTTGAGAGAGTGCTACAGAGAGCCCCCAGGACTCTGAGGCCTTTTCAGGGGGACCGTGAGGTGAAAACTATTCTCATAATAATACTAAGACATGACTTGCCTTTTGCAATGTGTTGACCTTAACACGGACGGTGCAAAAACAAGGTGAGTAAAACTATTGGAACTTAGTGCAGATCAAGGCAGTGGCCTTGAACTGTGTCATAGTCAGTGTATTCATCACTGTCAGGAACTTACAGTAAACAACAAAGAAGTCAGTTTCACTTGAGAATGTCCTTGATGAAACCATATAAATTATTAATTGTATTAAGTCTCTGTACCTTTGAGTACACATCTTTTTATTATACTGTGTGACTGATTGGGAAATATGCATAAAGCACTTCAACTATGCACTAAAGTACCATGATTGTCTTGCATAAAAGCACTTGTGCGATTGTTTGACGTGCAAGCTGGACTGATAAATTATGGTTATTCAGACTTGAGTATCTGGCAGACATTTTCTCAAAAATGAAGTGAGCCTGTCACTTCAGGGAACACACCTGACAGCGTTTGCTGCCAATGAAAAAATTCGAGCTTTCAAGCAAAACTTAGAATTTTAGAAAACTTGTGTCTGTCACTATGAATTTTATAGCTTTCCAATACTTAAACCCTTTTCTGATGAGACTGGAAGGGATATAATGAATGTGATTTTGGATGTTGTATAATGAAACGTCTCCACATTTGGATCATCTGCATAGCTCAGCAAACCAATATTTTCCAAATGACCAACGTTTGATGTTAAAAATCATTCATTTGTAAAAGATCCATTCAGAGTGCAAAGGGAAGCAATGCATCTCAATGTAACAGAATACAAGTTTCATTAATATGGTTTAATATTCTATGTTGTAATTATCTTTAAGAAAGTAGAGCAGTCCCCCCCCTCGTCTGAGGCTTTGCTTTCCATGGTTTCAGTTTCCTGAGGTCAGTCACAGTCTGAAACTATGAAATGAAAAATTCCAGAAATAAACAATTCCTGTTTTAAATTGCACACCACTGAGAGTAGTGCAATGACATCTCCCGCTGTCTTGACCTGGAAGGGAATCATGCCTTTGTCCAGCGTATCCACGCTGAACACATTACCTGCCCCTCAGTCAGCTAGTAGTCGTCTCAGTTATCAGATGGACTGTCTCAGTATCGCAGGGCTTGCGTCCATGTCGCCCTTATTTACTTCATAATGGCCACAAACCACAAGAGTAGAGATGCTGGCAATTCGGATATGCCCAAGAGAAGGTGCAAAATGTTTCCTTTAGGTGAAAAGGTGAAAGTTTTCAACTTAAGGAAAAAAACAACAACACCAGTTGTATGCTGAGGTTGCTAAGATCTACCTTAAGAACGAATCTTCTGTCAATGAAATTGTGAAGAAGGGAAAAGAAAGTCATGCTAGTTTTGCTGTTCCACCTCAGAGTACAAAAGCTCTGTCCACAGTGCATAATGAGTGCTTAGTTAAGACGGAAAAGGCATTAAGCTTTATCAGAGGTCTGTATGTATAGGAAAAACATGGTACATATAGGGTTCGGTACTATCTGCGGTTTCAGGCATCCACTGGGGGCCTTGGAACGTATCCCCTGCAGATAAGGGGGGCTGCTGTACCATTTGTAGAGTTTTGGTGTAGTATCAAAGAAGATTATCTCTATCTGAAAAGGTTATTAAAATATTCTTCCCTTTTCCAATTACATATTTGTGTGAGATAGAATTTTCATTTGTACTTCAACCAGAAATATAAACTATGACTGGTTGAACGCAGAGGCAAACATGAGAATCCAGGTGTCTTCCATTAAGCCAGGTATTTAAAGAGATTTACAAAAATGTAAAACAATGATGCTCTTTTCACTACATTTCTTTTGTTTTGGACAATACAGTTATTTTCATAAAATACGGTAACATGTAATAAGTTTATTATTGCTAATTCATTGTATGTTACTTTTAAAAAATTAAGTAATGTTTTTAAATGTCTGCTTTGATTTTTTTATGTGGTGACTATTGAGAGACACAATCCATATACAAAAGTATCCTGGAGCTCTCAATAATTTTTAAGTGCGTAAAAGGGAACTTGCAATCAAAAAGCTTAAGAACAGCTGCTCCAAGATCCTTGCAGAGGAAGCAGTGTTTTGGATGAGCAATTAGTAAGGAGAGGGGCACTCTGCATTTATTAGTTTGCACTATTGTCAGGGAGCAGTATGGCTTAATTGGGCTTAATGGCAAGCACTGGTTATCAAGACAAAATCATTTCTGGAGAAGCAAAAAGAAAGTCATCTATGATCTAAGATTGGTAGAGATCACTTTTGATAATATCACATTTTTAGAGTCCTGATTGGACCTTCTCTGCGCCCTTCCAATTGGTTCCAGTGGCCTGAGTGTACAAATCTGCCCTTTCGCTCCAAGGAGGGTCTGGCCCACACTTCCTGTTCAGTATTGGCCATGGTGACTAGATGTGCACTAGAAATCTGCCTCCCAGGTCATAGAAGATGCCACTCTGAGCTCAACAATCAGTACACAGTACTTGGGAAGGCACCAGGCACTGAGAATAAAAAATGAGTGTGTCGTGGCTTTTGTCCTGGAGACCTTTGTCTGATGGAAGGAAGACTCCTGAAGAAATAATAACAGTATGATGTGATAAATGCTGTACATACTGACCAAATTTTTCCAACCAAAAATTAAGACACACTCTGACATCTGTCAGCGGAACCATCCTGAGGGATCTGGAACACATCTGCTATATTTATTGAGAAACTCCCAACAACTCCACAGAAATTCTGTACAGATTTGTCCCACAGACCCAGAAACAATGGTCTGTATCTTTTTTATTTTTTAATTCTGAAAAATAACAGTGTCAGAATAGAAAAGAGCAAGAAGTTCATTTGGATTACAAAAGATGAGTAACGGGCCCCTAACATTTTATTTCCTCTGGGTTGGTCGATGGGAGGCACTGGGGGAAATTTTTTCCTTCATACTTGTTCCAAGTGGTTTCCACCCCCAGGCAAAGAGCCCAAGTTTGTTCACGCAGGTCTCCCACGCCAGCTGAAGCAGATCAAGCTGAACCCCAGAGTCAGAAGAATGAACTAGTAAGAGGCCTCTAAGATCCCAAGCCTTCCTTACATGTGGGTAAAATGAAACAATAGGGCTCCTGATTTGCCAAGAAATGTTGGCGTGCCCCCTGGGTGGGCTGTTTGGGGACCACGGAGGTTCTAGTCTGAACTGGGTCTTCTTAAGTTCCAACCATGTACCCTCTGCTCCCCCTTCCTTTGGGGCTGACTCAAATCCCTCTTCTTAGTCTCTCTCTCTGTCCCACTGTTCTTTCCCAGCTGTGGCAGCTCCAAAGTGAAATGAGCATGAATCAAACAATGAACAGAAAAAGAGTGCTCGATGCCACACATGGACATCCTGCCACCCACAGTTAGAGAGCATGGACGACACTAGCTCTTAAAGGCAATCCAAAGGCAAGGCAGGGCAAGGGGCCTGAAAACCCCTTTTGGAGTCTTGGATCCACTACTTACATTTGACTGTGGGCGAATCATGACATTACCCTGATCTTCATCCACAAAAACAGGGTATTTTTGAGAATTAAATGACACAATGTGTAAATGGCACACAGTAAGTCCACTATCCATTGTCATAATTCTCACATCTCTTCGTGTGATTATATGATGTCTATCTCTCCACTAATCTCCGAGTTTTATGAGGGCATGAGCTGCCTCCTTGTTTGTACATTACATCTCTAGAGTTTTGCACAGTGCCTGGCACATGCTAGGTATTTGTTGAGACAGTTGTGTGATAAATATGAATTGGCAGAGTCCCAATTAAGAATCTACTCCAAAATAGCAAGTGTGGGGGCTCCTGACCAGTCTCATGGATTGGTACTGGCTACCTGGAACATGGCGTCATGAAGGAGTCTAAGGTGGTGTGTGGAGTCAGTAAGGAAAGGGTGTGCTGGTAGACTACCAAAGCCTGCTATGGTTAAGGATGTTGAATATTTGTTGTCCTTGGTCTGTGGAGTCAAGAGCAGGTCCCCCTTGCCGGCTACTTTAAGCGCAAAGGTGTCTATTGTATAGAGCCATTTGAGGAGGACTGAGGTTACCACATGTCTGACCCGAAGATAAGCAGCACGACCTCAGGAATATTTTTTAAAATCACAAATAAGAAGACACTTAGAACAATGGTATGCAAAGAACCCAGAAGCACACCATTGTCTTGATGAATTCACATGAGGGGAATGTGCATTTCATGAATCATTTGGCAAGAGCGCGCAGACCTAACATTCTTTAGCTAGTGTATCTATCCCACAACTACACAGAACTTGTAATGCACTTTCCCCAACCCATAAAGTAGCTACCCTACTCACGAGGATAATCCTTTGGGTGTGTCTTCTCAGACCAATTCCCATAAAATGTGAGTCTGTACTTGGCAGTCCCACAGGCGCAGCAGTCTAAGATTGGCTTGTCAGTCACCCCATCAAACATGGAATCTGAAACAGGAAGGAAAGGCACCAAGTTAGGAAGCCAGTGTGGGTCTTGATCTTATCCTTAATGCTTAGGGGGAAAAACAGGAGGTGCACTGATTAATAACACATAGAACCAGATCAGTACTTGGGCTATAAAGGATTTTGTAAATCTCTAAGTATGGTAACTATATTGTGCAAAACATAAATAAAGAAATAAAATAAATTAGAACTATTGCTCTAATCAAGTGAGGAGACCTGTGGGACCAAGAAGGAAGAATATTTGGGATGGAGGTTATCTTGAGAAACCAGAGATACAATTGATGCAGTTACCCATTCTGGGCCCCAGTCTCTTCCCTCACCCCTCCCACAACATGATTTTTCCACTAAATTTTAAGCGGAATATGCATGTGTGTGTGTTCTCTAAGAAATATCTCCTGGGGCAAAATTGGCAGGACCAGAAGGAGCTGCCTTGAAAGAGAACAGTGAGAACAGAAAGACAGAGACAGAGAGATAAAGGACTGCTGAAAATTAATTTTTTTAAAAAAGATATGCATATATAGTCACATCACTTCTTATCAAGCTTTCAGAGACTTTACTGGGAGGGGGAGGGAGAGGAAATATGTTCCCAAGTTCAGGTTTACTTCTGAGAACAGTGGCAGCCAGGAACAACTTAAGATTCCCTCTCTGCCCCCATTTTTAGCTGTGAATAGCTGATAAGTGGGGAAAGAGAGATTACATGAATAAATTCAGAATTTCCGATAGCCAAGCCCATATCCCTAACTTTGCATTGTTGCCTGTAGTCTCCTCTGCTTCCTGCAAGATGAAAACAATGACTACAGCTGCAACTTGCTTCAATTGCTTTATCTACAGTTTCTTTAGCTGTATTAACAAAAATGTTCTTTTTTTTTCTCCAAGCTGGACATTTTTTCTTAAATATTATATAAGGAGCAGCGACAAAGAGTACAAAAATCTTTTGAGTGTAAAGAAGAGCATTTTACAAGTGTTCCATATGGAATTCACTGGGTTCATTTGGTTTGAATATGCAAAATCAGTGATGGGTGGAAGAAGTGCATTCTGGGATAGAGATAAAGGGACGGGTTATGGCAATAATAGCTATACTGGATAGAGTCCTTGTGTGTGCTGATTCTTTTTCATATATTGCTAGGATTGTCTTAGCAATCCTAAGAAGTAAGTACTTTAGCTAACCTCATTTTACAGATCAGAAATCCAAGGTAGATTAGGTAACCAGCCCAAGGTCGCAGGGGTAGTGAGTGGTGCAGGCAGAACTGGAGCTCAGGTCTTTTTGAGTCCACAGCCCATGCTCTTAATCTCTGCACTCTATCTGTCTAGTAAAGACCTTTTGCTGGATAGGTCTGCAGAAATACCAATGAGTGAAAAAAATTTTTTAAAGAATAGTTTATTGATTAAAAAAATTTTTTTTTTTTTTTTAAGAGAGAGAAGAAGGGAGAGGGAGAGAGAAACATCAATGTGAAAGGGAAACAGTGATCAGCTGCCTCCTGCACGCTCCCTACCAGTGACTGAGCCCACAACCTGGGCATGTGCCCTTGACCAGAATCCAACCTGAGCCTCCTGGTGCACCAGCCGATGCCCAACCAACTGAGCCACACTGGCCAGGGTGAGCGAGATTTTTCCATGTGTTTCTCTTTTTGCTTTTCCAAATGAAGAATGGTACATTTAGAAAATTATTTCCCTACACAGTTCCAGGATTTCTAAACAGCCCTACAGAACAGGTCTGAAACCACCCAAAATAGAAATCACTGCGTGGCTACTCTTTGTACATTCGGAAGAGACCAGAGCATCGTCTGTGCTGAGGAGCGGGCTCCCCACTGCCTTATGCTCAAGAAACCCACGTCTGATTCCTGCGTGAGCCGCTTTGATAGTGAAGGGACAAGCCCTGTTGAATACATTCCAGGAACGGTAGGGTAGATCAGTAACTCCCAAAGATTTTTTTGCCTTTTACATTTCCATTATGACCAACTATTTGTGAAACAACTAAGTTAGTTTTGAACCAGGGATTCAGAGCTAAGAGATACATGCTGAGATACATACATAATCTCTCAAGAAACCGAAACAAGGCAAATTGGTAGCTTTACCTCATCCAAAGGGCTCTCAGGTCTGTAGGTAGTAGACTTAAGATGTATCCAGGAGTTCAAGGGAATACATCTATAATAAATCTTTTGGACTTCCAACAGAAAATAAGCTTCCACTTAAAAAATAAATTTCTAAGTTTGAAACTAGAAACAGACATACTGCTTCCTACTGAGGAAAAGCCTATTGAAAATGCACCAAGTATTCAAAGGGCAGCGATAACAAGTGTTAACTCTCTACTCCCTCAACCCCCCACCATCTCCTAACTGCAGCAGGGCCTGCAGCATCTCCTGAGCTGCCCAGGAGATGGGTGACCAGGTAGCTTCAGGCCGTGCAGCATCCCCTGAGCTGCCCAGGAGATGGGTGGCCAGGTAGCTTCAGGCCTGCAGCATCCCCTGAGCTGCCCAGGAGATGGGTGGCCAGGTAGCTTCAGCCGTGCAGCATCCCCTGAGCTGCCCTCTCTCCCCATTTCTCCTCAACCCACCAGCTTCCTTTCAGCTCCCATCCTTGAGTCTTCATTCCTCTTGCCTTTTTCTTTCTTTTCTCATCTCTTCCCTCCCACAGTCTCCTCTCTTCTCTGCTTTTCCCTTTATCTTTCCCACTCCTTGTCTCTCCCCCTTAATTGCTTGTGACATGGTTAAAGTGAGCGTGTGGATGCATATGTTTATGTTTATTATGGGTCACCTTTTTGAATATTTTATGTTTCTCACTTAATTGTAAGCAGCTTAATGTTTTATGTTTCTTTTTAAGAATAATGATTGCCATTGCTTTTTATCTGTGCAGTCCTTAATTTTTCCCCTATGCATTAACAGCTTCTACTGGGAGAAAAATAATAGATACTCGTTTCTCTCTCCCCTTCCTTGATTGATTTGATTGGACTCACCAAAGAATGTAAAGACCTTAATGAAAGAGCTGGAGATAATTAAACAGGCATACACGTTTAAGAGAAATCCCTTTGCTCTATGCTTATAAATTAAAGACTTTCCTAACGTGATCTGCTTGCTAACTGATGAGTTTAGCAAGCAGATCTGCTATCTCCAGGGATCATCTACAACTGTACCTAAAGATCCTATAGCCCAGGTCCTATAGGACATTTCCCACCCACCACCCCGTAAAGCTGTCATTAGAAAGTGGTGTTTTTATGCAGGTGTGTGCTTAGTCTTTTTTTTTTCTTCATTCATTATTAATGTTTAAAAGATTTATTGTTGACACTATTACAGATGTCCCCCGTTTTCTGCCCTTTACCCACCTCCACCCATC